TCTGGTCATGCTGAGGTGGTTTTTTTCCACCTCCCCCCACCCCTTAGTTTCTCCTTTTTCTTTTTTTAAATTGGAAAAGCGAACAGAAAGTTTTTTTTTTTAGAAATGGAGGCAAAGCGATGAGAACATAACTCATTGAAAAGGGATAACATGCAGGGAACAGTATTCCTCTGATGTGGCTCCATTGAGTGTAGTAAAGGTAAACCAAGGATGGATTTACCCTCAACTTATTAAACTAAATTGGAATTAGCCCTCGGGTATTACTGCTCCTGCCCTACAGAACTGTGTCCTCTTGTGGGTCTGTGCTGTTCCCCACTGAAATCAGGTGGCTGCTTGATTAGTCTCCAGACAAAATCAGCCAGATTTGATTCTTATGTTTGTTTCCTATTAAATCATGTCTGCTATTTGTTATCCCTCCTTTTACAGAAATCCATCCTGATTGAGCATGGGATCCGGAGGCTGACATTCCTTGTAGCACAAAAGGTACTTGATATCTCCGCTGCTGCATGGAAGCATTTTATTTCTAGCTCATACAGAAACAGTCATCTTTTTTTTCCACATGGAAAATTGTATTTTCTGTAGTTTTAGTTCTGCTTGTTTTTGTCTGCATTCTCTAAAATGGAGGTTTTAATTAATTGCTTAAGAAAATTAATTGACAATATAAGAAAATATCTTAGAGTCGCTTGTGATCTTGTCTTAATTTATTTATGATTTTAGTACTAATTGCTAGCTTTCTTGTGCTTTTGTTTTTTTCTTTCCTGTCCTTCTGTGTTTCGTTTGTAAGGATTTCAGAAAACAGGTCAACTATGAGGTGGATCAAAGATTTCATGTAAGTAAAAGGAGAAAAAAAAAAGAGTTCTGGAATATTTTGTCTGAAATGTCTCTCTGCAGTGTATGTAAATCAGATGGAAATATAGGTTACATGTGGGTAAAGTAAATAAGATTTGGCCCTTTGTGAGCTATTTGAGTCCGATAGCAATGCTCCAGTAAGCCAACTATTTAAGTACATACCTAACTTCAAGTGCATGAGTAATCCTATTGACTAGGGCAACTCACAGGTTTAATAAAGTCAGTAACTTAAACACTGACTTAGAGATCCATATAACTTAATGAAACTGGGCTGGCCTTCATTGTTCTAATGTTGATTTTTCATATTGTAAAAATAATTATGTAATAAAATATTAAAATTTTCATATTCTTCCTCTCCTCCAAGGAGGTGAAAGTTCTTTACCCATTTTGCAGATTAATGAGCTGAGGGGCAGATAAGTGATTTCCCTGAGTTCCCGGAGTGGTTTTGGGGCACAGCCAAGGTAGAACTCAATGTGCTCACTGTTAGGAAGCTGTCTGGTTCCCAGGGCTTTGACTTGAGCATGGGCTAGCTTGACGCCTGCTAATCAGATGACTGTACAGGGCACAATCCAGCTTTCTCCTTGTGTATCAACTCAGCTCTTCTTGCTGTTGATGCGAGCTGTGGGTACACAAGGAGGGTGGGTTAAGCTGCATGCAAATCCAGCCTGGAAAATGCAGAAGTTTGGGGCGACCAAATTACCTTTTAGCAGAGTTTGCATTTTTTCTTTTTTTTTTTTTTTTAAAGGACAAACTAGTTCTCACCTCTGTAGAAATAACCAATTATTGAGCAACCAATATTCTATTCGATTTGCAGCAAGCTTATCAATTGCCATTTGGGAATTATACCTGTGTGTGGTGAATAGACTTTCCACCATGGATGCAAAGAAGCCTGAATTTAGGTGTGTTGTCAGATGAGAGGCAAGGCCAGGCACTGTCAGCATTGTAAGGTGTTAATGCCCCATGACACACACTACAGTGTCTCCCTGCAGCTCTTAATTTTTGTTAAGTATATTATATTTATACTGTAATTGAATAGTAGTGTCTAAGAAGCCCTGATTCCCCTCGACTATCTGATTACAGTTTAATGGCTGTTGAAAAATGTTCTTCCTTGTCAGCTGGATCAGTTTTGGTACCTATTAATTAGGTGACTTTTTATGGGCTTGTGGTAGCAAAAATGTTTGGAACCTACCTCCCCTGCCCTCCCTTATTTTTTTATTCTTTCCATTAAAAATATCTAGTGCTAGGAATTTTTCTTATCCCTAAGTTAGCCTCATTGGTTCTGCTTCACACAGTAATAAGAGAGTTTATCCTGCAGGCTAAAGAAGTAAAAGGCTTTTCCAAAATGCTTTAGGAAATACTGCAAAGTGAACTGCCTTCCCCAGTGTATTAATGGCAGCAAACCTAGCAGAGTACAATGTATACAGATGTATATCAATCAATGGCTTTAGATAGGAAGTGGGAGCCTTTGGAGAAACGTGGGGGGCTTAAGTAAGGAACCCCAGGCTTTAGAAAGGAAAAAAAGAGCTTAGAGGATAAAATATATTCTGGGAGATGAACTATGAGGGTCTCTGGATACAGGCTGTTGCTTTTGCGTGGAGGAATAGAAGAATCCTCATAGGATTCAGAGAGCTGGGACTTGGGGTAAGTGGAAAGCCTGGTAGCTTCAGGATTCATTCGTTACTCTGGATTACCAGATCCTTCTGTTAATGCCTAACTGTGGACATTGGGTGCTGCTTCCACAAGGGATGGGGTTTGTGGGTGGCCCCTTCCCTTTAAATGTACGCGTTTAACGTTTTGCCTAGTATTCCTAGCTCTGAGGGCCAATCCTCACAGCTCTGACTAGGGAGTGGCCTCTATATATTGTGCTTAATGGCCCAGTCCAATTTTCGTTAGGACAGTGGCAGAATTTACACTTATGTCAGATGATACCAGCCTTAAATCAGGCCTTAACCATGAAAAATGAATACGTGTTATGGCTAAATCACATCTTTTGAAGTTGCCAACCTGTATGTGCTAATCGTTCTTAAAAACATGAAACCTCAGAGGCTGATTGCTACCGCCACTGAATATCTTACTTTGAGATGCAGCTTCTGTTGAATTTTAATTCATCCCTGCAGCGCAAAACAGAGTGCAGCTGCTATTTTAAAAAAAACCTGACAAAGCTACTCACAGAGGAAGGTAACACCTGTTCTCTTTCTGAGGCCAACAGTCCCTGGCACATGCTGCCTAGGAAAAGTTCAAACAATTCATGTGCAGTTGCAGTGCCAGTGTCAATGGGCATGAGTGCGGGCAGTTAATAAAAAGGTGTGCATGCATGGAGAGGCACCTTCAAGCAGCTCTCTATCCTGACTTGCTGTCAGGTGGGTGGATCTTATCATCTGGTTTGTAGTGAAGAATAATTGTTGTGAATGCAGCATCATCATAGTCACTTTTCTTTTTGTCCTATTCCAAGGTAAAAGGACAGCTGAATGCCAGCTTTTTATTTAGCCCAGAGCTCAAGACCAGCAGGAAAGCGCAGGGTAAGACTTGGGAAAAATGCAGGGAAAGATGCCAGACACTCAAAAACTAACAAGACGTTTGCCAGTCGCTGAAGGATATTTGCGTCTTAGGGTGTCTTCATGCATGAGTCTGCCCTGTTGTTTGTTGTTTTTGGGTGGAAAAGGTTTGCAAGGCAAGTCTTTCGATGTCATTGGTGTTTTGGTAGTCACTACTGCCAGATGTACCCTTTCTTCCTATCTTAGCTGTGTGATTTTTCTGTCTAGGAGCTATGCAGTTTGGGTTGAGTTGAGCAAAACACTGTTGGCTAGATAGCATCTCAGAGGGGAGATGCTAAGGAGTGTATGGAAGCATTGGGGTCACTGACAGGAGCAAGGGTATTCTAAGGAGCTCATCTCATACCAAGTACTGGTAAAGGGTTTGGATGAAAAAAATGCTGAGAACCTTTGGAGGTTTGTCTGTTGTGAGTTCTGAACAAGTTCTGCAGGCTTACTTTTATTCCAGTATTACCTAGACCAGATGAACCAAGGCATTGTCCAGGCCCCCTTTCATTCTAGTGTAAACAAGCCTTTGGGAACTGGAGGCGGAGAAATCTTCACGGAGGTACAGCTCTACAGTTTGGAGCTATAAAACTTCAATCATCCATGCAGCAAAGGATACTGTGTTGGACTAAGAGCCGTCCTGTTATTTGGGGCTATTTCCCTAAAAGCAAAGCCAATTCCAGTTTGGTCAGCATGTAGGTGAGTGAGCTGCAGTGAAAACCCCCAGCATTGAAGAGCCCAGTGTTTGTGCTTTCAGCCAGAACATTACTGTTGTTTGAGATGGGCCCTCGTAATTTGGGGTCAGTAAAAGAATGAAGGGTGCTTGCTTTCTTTCCACAGAAGTCAGTCTAGTTTACCAAGAGGGCTCTCCATCTGTATTCCTATGTACTTAGGTTCTCACGTGATGGCATTTGCTTTCTGTACTGACCTGTTGTGCATTACTTTGCATTATTAGGAGCTTGCTACTTTCCAACTCAGAGGAGCCAGCATAGTTAGCAACATATCTGAGAAGTTGGTAGAGTACTTTTGGGATCTCCATATGAAAGGTGCTATATTAGTGTCAGTCTTCATTATTATCTCTTACTCTGTTCAGTTTGTGACTGGACCAACTATTAACTTACCCAGGGCTTGGCTTGGGTTTGTTTTTGTTTTAATTACAGTCTATATAATTAGTTCCCAGCATGTTGAGGTAATAGAGAGTTGCTCCAGCAAGCTTCCAATTTCCTCATCTCATTAGGTTTTTAACGCGATTATTAGTATAATAATCAGCTATGATGATTTCTGTTGTAGCTTTTCACATTCTCCGATTTGCAGGGTGTCTTGATTGGCTAATTTAGGCAAATTATTTTGATTGTCTTGATGATGGTTGGTTGATTAGAACACAGCAGGGGTATAATTCCTCTTCCTAGGAAACAGAGTCCTCTTTCGGTTTTTGGTACCAGAGCACTGAGAATTTTTGTGTATGTGCACATTTAATTATTATATTTACCCACAACACTAGTCAAATGCCTTGAAAGCAATTACATTAGTGATAGAATGAGCATGGATGATGATAGGAGAAATTGGCAGCATGCAGAGGGGGGCAGGTGGGAGGGTTTTGGAAGGGTATTGAGGCAATGTGAGAGTCTTAATTCTGTGTTTGTTTCCTTGTTTGTTAATTTTGGGTATCACAGAAACTTCTTATGAAGTTGTCCATTTTTCCAGTGGCAAGATTCTTTATGGTAGATATGGCTACTTGGAAGGTATGCTGCAGTCAAACGCAAGTTACTGGGTTTGGTATGACATTCTAAGGCCTGATTTATGGAGGAGGTCTGAACAGGTGATCCAGTGGTTGTAAGATCTGTGAATGGTCAGCATAATACAGCATTATACAGTGTCTCTCCCTCTGTCATTATGCTCCTTTTATAGAAGTGAGACAACCTGCTGCTTGTTCTTTTCTTCCTTGATGTTTAAAACTTGCATCTGATTCTAAGAACAGTTCTAGGGTTCAGTAACTCCAGGTCAGATGTCTGCTTTCTCAAGAAATGACTTCTGTAATTGCCCGTCTTTGCAGGCTTCAGTTGGGATCAAAATGGGATGAATTCTTTCTGCCTCTGCCAGGAATAGAAGGTTTGCAGATGCCCACACTTACATTGGTGCAAAGCATCCATAATACCAATGGGATTATGGCAGCGTAAAACACAACACGCGTGACTTCTTCAAACTCTACCTAAAGATATGTCCTCATTACTGACTGTTTTTAATGGTGCTCTGTACAGAACAGTCACACTTACCATTTACTGCATTGAATGCAATGTGAAGAGTATTAATCCAGCCCTGAATTATATCTTTAATGTGAAAGTATGTGCCTCAGAAACTCATGGGACCTAGTCCAGCAGAGCATATAGATATGTGCTTAATTTAAGCATGTATGTAATGCCACTGAGCTCAATGGGGCAATGCATACTTGCGTATATTTCTGTATTGGAGCTGGTGGGAGTAGATATAAAGGTACCATCTTTCCATAGTGTGTTTCTGACTCTAATCATGTTTTAAAATGCAATATGTTCAGAAGGACGTCTGCATTAGCACTTTCAATATCTATCATGTCATTTTACATAATGTGTGGGATACTTGGGACATATTGAAACAATAAAAGCATATTAATGAGTACAAAAATGATTTCAGCATGGGAAAGAGTCAATCGTACTTTTGTACAGTGGCTGTATTACTGTTGGTACAGTTGCTGTAGTAACAACCAAAATGATTATTATTGTAGTAAATTGAAAGCAAAAAGTACAACTTCCAATAGCACAGACTCCAATAATGGCATCTACTAGGGCATTTTGAATGTATGAGCAATCCCATTCAAAGTCCTCCAAGCTTATTAGGTGTTGAGCATTGTGCTGTATGCCATTAAAAAGGCAATATCCCCTAGATTTGCAGTGAGATTCAGGATTTGACCTGTCACCTTGATACCATGAGGGATAAATGATTTCCATGCAGGTAATGGATGAGCAAAGAAATGCACATTTTTTTTTGTACATTTCTAGAATATTGTTTAAGGCATGCAGATAAAATCAATTATTGGACTTTTCATTACTTTCGCAAAATCATTAAAACTTTCTTGAACAGGGAACACAATTAGCAGGGTGTAACTGGGTGTCCTTTAAAAGGGAACAGTCAGCCCTATTGGGAGAGCCCACCTGTGGGGCATTCGGGTAGGGAGGGATTGTCCTGTCCAGAGCTTTAAAAAACTCCCAGAAAAGTAAGCAAGAGAAAAAGCAGCAAGCTGTGAGCTTAACAAGGATAGGGCAGTTTGTTTGGTTTGGTATTTTCTGTTTTTTTTGCCTGTTTGTTGCATAAAGACTGCGTTTCATTTGGGAGGCCTGGCTGGGAAGCTCCTCAAGGAGCAAAAAACCCTCCTGCAGAAGCTGGCAAGCTATGTATCCTGCTTACACAGGATTAGACGTATGAAGAGTTCTTTACAAGGCAGGGACCATCTCTGTGTCATGTGTGCAGCAACTAACCGGGTTAAGTCTCTAGTTTAGACTCTCAGTTAACCCCACAATTGAAATGACTAATTGGAGTAATAGCAGAGTCGTACCCCACTGTTCCTCCCCTTGGCCAGCCAGAACTTGTTTTTTTTTAATACCCAGCATTAAATAAAAATAATGAAGATAATCAAGAGCCACCTCCTGCATTAGCAGTACGCATAAATTTAATTTGCCCCTGCTTCCCCCTCCAAGAGGAAGTCTTCCCATCATCTCTGTTTAAAACATGAATGTTTAAGGCAACTTTCACTATCATAGTAGCAAGTTATACCTGTTTTCCTGCCCCCCCTCCCCCCATTGCCACGTTAAGTCCTTCCTTTGAGCAGTTGCTGTGCTGAACAGTTGGTATGTTGTGCTATTGAAGGACTGATCAAATTATTTTTATTTTCAAACAGAGGGAATTTCCCAAATTTTTCACATTCCGTGCCAGAGACAAGGTAAGCTGCACCTGCTCAGTGCTGCTCTTTCTACATTTTCAGTCGATTTGTTTTCTTTTTCCCCCAAACTCGTCCTAGATCTGTCCAAAAGTGAGAGGATTCACCTGAGCAGAACTTCACCAGCAAACCTGTGCATATTCCTTCCCTTCCACTCCCCCTGCTTCCCTTTTACAATTTGTTACATTGACAGTTAGGGCTAATATGAGCTATTGAGCATCTATAAGTGATTGATAATTGGCAGTTTTGATAATCAGACCATTTATTTAGATGCTAAATATGGATTTGGAAAGGTAACTTTAGGTTCTTGTTTTTTAAAGTCTCAGCCATCATGCAACAAAATTTACTAAAAAAAATTTACTGATAAATTTTGTGTTGTTCCACTAACTGCACTTGGCTGCAGATTACATGACGTGTTCTGTTCCAAAGCAGTGCTTTTAGTGCTGTGGTCACCAGGACAAGAGTGTAAGCTATAGGGGAAGATGAAAACCTGAAGAAAGTTGTCCATAGAAAGTTCTTTTCCTTTTATAGGCTTCATTTGTAGGCAGTGACTGAGCTTGAGAACAAGACTACAACCATTTCTGTTCTACTTTGCACACACTGGCAGCTTCAGTGCACAGCACTCAATGCTAATAACTCTGGTGCATCCGACTGGAAATACTATGGCAGCTTCATTTGAATTTTGAGGCGTTTTTTTAATTAATGAAAGATGAAAATTCATAAAAGGGGCCATATATTGTTGCTGTCATGGTTTTTATTTCCAACTGAATCCAGTTTATTTTGCACTGTTTCAGTATTTTTAGATTTTTGACGTACCAGAGATTTTTGTATTGCCAGGCAGAAAGTAAGGAAGGATGGATGGCACCTTAGAGTGTAGCTGGTTTAGAGAGTCATAAGCTTTTGCAGGTGACGTGCAAGCTTTATCACATGGTATCTTTTTTGCGAGAGGAGCAAAGCTTAAAGGTTTGGGCTCCTGAGTACAGGGCAGCCGAGAACATTGCATGTGCAGAGTGAGAAGTAATTTGCAGTTGTGGGATATGGTTATCAGTCAAACATTTCTGCTAAAATTAATCACTTAGTGATAGTGATATTTAAATCACCCATTCTAGATTTTATGGCTGGACCTCTGATGCAAACAGGGCAGGGTATGCCCTTAAGAACTATTGTTTCAGCCTGCCTACAAATTTGGTGAGATGAGTTAGCATCTTGGATGCAATTTTGTAACAAAGGATGGAATCTGCTATAAATGTTGCCCCTGTGGCAATACTTGCTGTTGTATGGGCCTCAAGCTGTTGGAGATTGTCAAATTCTCTCAGTCCTACAGGACCCAAGTTCCTAACAGGCGTTTTCCTTTTTTTCTCCACCCCCTCCTCACCTGTGCCCCAAATATTGTGAGATGGGCTTCACTCCGCCTCCTCCAGTTTGAGGAAGATAGGATCTACCGCCACTTGGAGCCAGCTCTGGCTTTCCAGTTAGAGCTGAACCGAATGAGAAACTTTGATCTCACTGCCATTCCGTGTGCCAACCATAAGATGCACCTGTACCTGGGAGCAGCCAAAGTCGAAGTGGGCACGGAGGTGACGGATTACAGGTTCTTCGTGAGGGCTATTATAAGGCATTCAGACTTAGTCACCAAGGTAGGTTTTGTGCTATCTGGGAGGTCTACTTCTGCAGTAACATGTGGAGGATGTCAGTTGGAAATTTTGTGTATCAGTGTACCAGCCCATGTGTGCAAATGCGCACCTGTGTGTGTGTGTACATACACTATAAACCCTCTGCCTTCTACTTAGTACAGTGGTGCATCTCTAGGAGCATTTCTCATGATGCCTGCACTTAAATCAGATTTTCCTTTAGCTTAAATTGTATAGGAAGGGAGCTTTCTTTTGGAGGCAGAAGAACCTGGGTTTAATCTCTTTTTCCCTTTAGCGCTGGATGGCCCCTGAGCCATGGTAATAACACTTTTAAGTGCACAGGTTCATACATTAGATGCTGTGTGAAATCAGTAGACACTGTATGAGTGTCCTTCCAGTTTTTATGCCGATGTAACTGAGGACACAATTTGACTTAGTATCTGAATGAGATGCCATCCACAATAGGACCTCAATATGCTTTGTATGCCAAAACAACTATAATCTTTTTTTCCTGTTGTTTTCTGCTATGGTCTTTTATAGTCTAATACATCTGGGCTGGGGCCCCACTCACCCCTGCCCCATTCCCTACCCCACCATGGGGGCCTCAATCTGCCCACCCCC